GTTTTTTCTCATACACGATTGTTGACTATTATTCGTATTCGGTCTCAGAATATAGAAGTAGAGAATGATATTGGATCATTTCCATAAAATATAAACATCGTCTGTAGAAATATATTAACATAGTGATTTGGAAGCTTAATAGATATCTAGAATGTTACTTTGTTGTAAAGATCAATTGTTTTTCCGCATACATTCAATTTAGCTGATCAATTTCTATGACTTATAGTATCTTCTATGAAACATTTGAGTGTGGTAATTGAAAAATGAGATATCATTGTAAAGCATCTCATCAAACAATTTCTCTCTCAATCCGAATCCGAGATTAGAGCACTATCATTGACTTTTCTACAATATAAAAAATTATAATTCATCATATCATCAATCTGTCTAAATTGATCAATACATCATGAATAAGTGATTATTCTTCTATGACACAGAATACTCTTGTAATGGATCCCAAACGTAAATATGTCTGAGGAGGTTATTTATACACATACATATGTATGTGTATTACTTTCTTAGTTGGCTTTGTTCATTACATTTTTATTATTTACAGAGTTGTTACCTGTAAGCGGGCGCGAGCAACTAAAAAATAGAATTAATTCAAAAACAAGTGTGTAAATCATTCTTTTATTTATTTATCAAGTATTCTTGATAATTTCTTTTTTTCCAGTTTCAATATTCTTTTTTATCGTTTTTATATTAGGATGGGTTGTAGGTAATGCACGCTCCCATATATCCAGCGCATGTTCAGCATATGACAGTGCTTTCGAATAGTCTTCCATATAGTAATACACCATAGCGATGTTGTTGTATGAAGTAGCCAAACGAGGATGATATGAAGCAAGAGTTTTTTGTTGAATTGCAAGCGCTTTTTCGTGTGATGAGAGTGCTTTCGAGTACTCTCCCATTTTGTTATACACACTACCAATGCTGTCGTATAAACTAGCCAAATCAGGATGATTCGAAGGAAAAGCTTTTGTCAGAATTTCAAGTGCTTTTTCGTGAGATGAAAGTGCTTTTGAGTGCTCTCCTAGGATACTATACGCCACACCGACGTTGTTGTATGAAATAGCCAAATTAGGATGATTTGAAGGAAGAGCTTTTTCTTGAATTTCAAGTGCTTTTTCGTGATATGCAAGTGCTTTCGCGTGCTCTCCTATCTCGACATACACCCCACCGATGTTGGTGTATGAAGCAGCCAAATCAGGATGATTTGAAGGAAGAGCTTTTTCTCGAATTTCAAGTGCTTTTTGGTAATCTGAAAGTGCTTTTGAATACGCTCCCGTCTTTTTATATACCAAACCGATGTTGTTGTACGAAGTAGCCAATGAAAGATGATTTGGAGGTAGAGTCTTTTGTTTAATTTCAAATGCTTGTTCGTAAAATGCAAGTGCTTTTGAGTACTCTCCCATTCTGTTATACGCCAAACCGATGCTGTTGTATGAAGTAGCCAAAAGAGAATGATTTGAAGGAACAGTTTTTTCTCCAATTTCAAGTCCTTGTTCGTAATACCAAATAGCCTTTTCATAATCACCCTGCTCATCTTTGATATATCCCAGCTGACTATAATAAAGCGCTTTTCCACTCTCATCAGATGTCTGTTCGAGTAATACATTATAAAGTTCTTCAGCTTTATTAAACTGACCAATTTTAATCAGTAATTTACTTAATCCCTGCCATCCAGCACCATCAGCTTCTTCTCGTATCCGATCAGTAAGTAATCGTAGTTGTTGATCATCATCCGATGTTAATTGTAACTCAACTTGATAAAGTTGATTGTTATTAGCCATTTGTTCAATTGCACCCACTCGAAAAACAGTATGCATGGAGAAGAGAATTTCTTCTTCTTCGTTATAATAACTCATGTGCTTGATGGAGGCAAATGGCATTGATTTCACACGAGGATTAATTAACATTTTGAAAAGAACACCGACCATGTCTACATTGTCTGATGCGCTGCGGGCAAATACTAAGGAGATATCTTGTTTCGTACTAGTGGATAAAAAGTTATTAAAGGACAGTAAAGTACCGTTTGTTTTCTGAAGTTTTTCGAAATCTGCTTTGGAGAGACCTTGTCCTCGGTAAACTATGAATGATTTATCGTGATAACTACTAAGTTGTTGTTGGTGTAGTTGTTGAATTTGTTGATGAAGATCATGTATGAAAAAGCCCATGCTAATAATGGTATCACCTTCCATAAATCGAAGAGCAGAATTCAGCATAGAATAGATAAATATGGGAGAAGTATACCACCAAATAGCTGATTGAGTATGATATTCGTTTTCAAATCGATCAATATTCGTTGCCGATCCGCAGTCATGTTTTCGACAATAAGTTGTAAACTGTTTGATGGATTGTTTATCGTATTCCATATCAACAAGAATATCCTTGAATATTTGAGTATACATAAATGTTGGTTCCAATTGATTTAAATTATTAGTTGAAATCATTTCATCTACCGTGAAAAAACTCATGGCAATCGAATCTTGATTGAAGTGCTTGATACCGATTGTTAATGTTTGGCATAAGTCATCGATGTTGGTATGAACGTTCCTGATTTTTTGCCACTTTGTTGTCCATTCTTCATCTTGGGCTTTCATGTTACTGCAGATATGAACACTATGCAACTGAGAGATGTCATTCACGAGCGGCATTATTTGTTGAGCCATATTGTTTTCAAGTACGAGAAAAGACCTGATGTTTTCTTCAGCATCTGTAAGAAAGTCGATACATTCGTCTCGCTGCTTAAAGATGTTGACATTGTCAGTTCTGGTTTTTAATTGTGTCAAAATACTTTGATATTCTTGGTTCGCTTCACCTATACATTCATCTAAACAGAGAAGCGAATAATTTCGAACCATTCGTCGTCTTTGTTGAATAGCATTCGATGGTGTTATGGTCATGTTGTTGTTATTCATGGGTGTATTCGATGATAGAGACGCTCTTGGATTGGATTCTGATCCACTCGTTTGATCCTTTTTCTAATTTGATGTTGATTATAAGCTTAGCAATACTTGTTGTTTGTTGTTTTTTGTAAATAGTAAGAAGACATGCCACTCTTATTTATAATAGCAATGGCGTACTTTTGTCAAGGCTCAATAAGAAGCCTCAACTAGTTACTTTTTTAGATACTGTTGTGAAGAACAAGAATCAGATCAGTACAAATAAATTTCTTAACAACGTTTGCGATAGAACGAAATGATTTCGTTGTATAGTTATTCTTTCCAACTTTTTTGGCTTTATCAATATAATTATTTTAGTAATTCAATATATCACCTATACTTTATCATTGAAATGGAATAGAAATAAAAACATGATTCCTTCAGTGAATATTGCTTCTCTTCGTCATACATTATTTTATTGTTAGAACAAAAGGACTATATCAGTGAACGAGAAGTAGCTATTGGTTTAAGAATATCGTAGGAACTTTGTTGTATTCTGTTTGAAAAAGAAAAGTATTCCATACAAACATATTTAAAACAGTTATGTTGTAAATAGTTCTTAAAAAACTTCAAAGTTGTTATACCTAAAGATATTAGAAAACTTTTTTTCACAAATGATAATGTGGTACACTATGTATTTTATTTACTAATCCATGTTTTATAATTTTAACAAAGAATATTATTTTTGTATCGACAAGAAGTTATCACACGTTCGTAACGGTAAAAATGATCAATTATAAACGCATTGTTGATAGCAGTTGAAAAATATTCCAGCAAAAGTTTGTATTGTAATTTAAGTTTACATAATTATTTTCGATATGAGATTTAAAACAACACTTATCTATTGGACAAAATGATTATGTAGATTTTATAGTTGCTCGAATCAACAGTATTATATTATCGACTATCATTCAATATTGTAAGATATTTCATTCTCTTAGAGCGAACTAATGAAAATTAGGAGTACTCTATGCCTTGAAATACTCAAAATTGTATATAATATTATGTTGTTATATATCCACCATTCTTTTTTTTCTTTAATAACAAATGGGGTGCAATCGCACCCAACACCTCTTCCTCCTCCGAAATCTGTTACTACTGTCAAGCAGTAAATACTTTTGTAAAAGTGCACAATGACCGCTCCGTTTCATACGATACTGCAGACAGAAAAAAGAAAAAAATAGATAAGCACAGAACGACAAATATATACGAAAATAAATCTTCAAAGTTATTCTCTAATCAATAAAACAAATTGTACAGCATTTGTTTTAATACATATCTATCAAATTATCACAAAAAAAAGATATAAATTAAAAAAAAATCTAATTAAAAAAGGATCATTATTTTACATATATGTAATCAAATAATTATCAATTAATTGATGTTCATTCTCATAGTTATTCTATTACGTTATGAGCAAATAAATTCAACTCTAAATACCTTTTCATGTAACACCACAACGAACTACCTCAAAAAGATGATGGAGAAAGATATAGCTCAATTTTGGCATCATCAATTAATTAATAATTATTTGATTTATCATTGGTGTAACCTAACTTCGTTAATATAATACATATACAGATCATTACTCTTCCGGATGTACCTTCATTTTCTCCGAATTAGTCAACGTCAATGGACGTGTAGAACTTGTTTTTCTAAGAGATTTTGTATTAACTTCATACATTGCATTTACTAAATCAGTTCGACTAGTAGTTGTTTCTAAAACTGTAGATTTTTCTTTAACATCAGTTGAAGTAAGATCTGGTGGACGTTCTAATACACTACTAAAACGTGTTCTTAAATGAACAGCTTCAAAGACATGTTTACGATAAGTACGTGCTTTTTTTGATAAATGAAGTAAAATAATATCGCAAAAAAATGTTGCTAAACCAAATATTCCAACTAATGAACCTGTATTTAAGCTTAATGTAATCGAATCAAATTTTCCAGCTTTACCACTAACAGCAATTATTAAACGAAGACCATAAGCTTTAGTTAATGTACGATGATTTTCATACGTCGATTTCCAATGAAATGCATAACGAAAATTAAAACCACGTGAAAATGGTTTTTCACGAAATGGAACATCAAGACGAGCAAATGTATATTCTGGTTTACATAATTTTATACCTCGATCTAAATCACAATCCCAATCAAGTTTAACACTTATAACACCACCAAGACGTAACATTAGATCACGTTCTTCTGCATCTTTTTCAGCTTGATTTACTATATAATCAAGAGTAAATATTGGACAATCTTTCGACAGATTCGCATGGAAAACACATGGTTTTAAATCATCAACCATATTTTTATGTTTAACAGCAAACACTGGAAATTCAATAAAATTTTTTATAAATATTGTAAAATTCAAAACTTCATTAATAAGCGCTGGTGATGCTTCATCGTTTTCAGGTGGACACCAACCTATAATAATAAAAAAGAGTACCATTAATAATCTTAAAAAGGAATATTGTATAACAGCTGTTCTAGCCTTATGTATGTTATCTTATTTATTTAGTTTTCATTAGTAACATGTGGTGCCTGTACTCTAAATAATTCTTTCTTCATTTTGTCTTAATTCACTTAACATTTCTAAAAATACAAAAGATTGACAGCGTCTGATATTTATCATATGTTATTTCAAGATTGTCTGTGAAAAATTTTATGTATTTTCTTAAGTTTCAAAATAATATATTTTGTCTTATATCTTTATGTTATATCGACCTGTCACATATATCGATAGTATACGTTAAATGATCATTTATCTTATTCATATAACAAACGTCCTGCCATTTCTTGTTATCTATATTCTAATAGAAAAAATTGTATTATCGTTGTCTATAATTGCTGTAACGTATAGAAAAAGCAAATTTACCTGCATATTCGCATAGACCTTTCGATGGTTTTGTTTTACTAAATGTATCATTGGAAATTTGTCCTTCGGATGGTAATATACATCGACCTGTCCAACGTCCATTTGCTCTTGGTGAAAATGGTTTATTTTGACATTCATCATCATTGTCACATTCTGCTTCTTTCAAAAGTAAACTCTCTGGACATTTAGATCGTGTTTGATCAGTTTGACCATAGCTTGACATTATAAATATAGCATTATTTTCCGATGGTGGAATAATATAATCTATTAAAATGAAATGATTCTTCTATTCGAAATTAATTCTTTTCTAATATACCTGCTACATCAATAATAAGTGTTCCATTTTGTGCTGTATGTATATAACCAATTCCTTTAACTTTAAGTGTAACGGATGATACAATTGATGTATCCTGTTTTTGATAACCTTTTTCATATAAAAGTAAATATAATATGGAATAGATTAGAAGAATAGCTTGCATAAGACGAAGTAAAATAGTAAGTGATAAACTATGTATTACAACTAATTTTGGTGTTTCATATTCTGTAAATAAACCAAAAAATGATCGAACAAAAACTCTTTGAAAACGTTGTCGATGTTGAAAGATTACATTTGAAGTCATGTTCTTCTAGAATAAGTATTATTTTGATAGTTTCACATCTTAATTATATAGGAAAAAAAATGTATATATCGACCTACTAGAAAGATACACTGTTCTAAATGTAAGCAAACAATAAGATAGAGAGTATCATTATAAGTTTGATAGAAAGCTGATGAAAATATATAGTTTATCTTCATAAGACATTAGACAGCTGAGAAACGGTTGTAATACTGATTGTCCATTGTTGACAGCAAAAACCGTCATATTCAATGCTGATAACATTAGTATAGTTATCTTGCTCTTGCATAAAGGACATTATAGAAAGTATATAGGACAACGTATTATCTATAGCAAGTTATCTTAATTCATTTCTATACGAGAAAAAGACAAGAATTTAGTAAGAAGTACACGTAACTGACAGCGACAGATTTAGGAAGAGTGTGTTGGGTACGATCGTAGTGTGTCTGTTTAATTACATTTGGTACGATCGAAATATATTCTATAGATACATATAATAATAGCAGAACTTGTTTATGGTAAGAAAATGACATGGATATTCCATCAAATATGAAAACTGATTTCTTTGAATAAATTAAAGTTTATTTCTTTTTTTTTTTTGAAGAGAAAACCACTATCTATATCTATCCATCTTGTGATTTATTATATAAGATGATTATGTTGATATATATCCACACTTCTAATAGTCAATATATGATATTAACACTATTCATATAAACAAATAAATAATTACTGTATATTTTTTTTTGTTATCAATTGATGAATATAAAGCTATTTATCAAAAAAAAATTTAATTTGATTAGAAAAACAACCAGTCTGATTTTTTCTTTCGAATACATTGTATATATATGTATTCGAGATGATCGAATAGAATATAGATTATTTAGTGTAGCGAATGAAAAGAAAAGAATGTTATTACCCTGGATAACTTTAATCTTAATATTTAGTCATTGTTGTTTCTGTAGTGAAAGATCTTATAATGAAATTGACATTGAACCTTGTGATATTAATCGTTGTCGATTACCATACTGTTATTGTTCAAGTCAAAAAATTCCTGGTGGATTAACTGTACGTGATACTCCACAATTTATTGCATTAACAATTACTGGTCCATTAAATGAAAAAGCCTATGATTTATTAGAAGATTTATTTCTTTCAAAAAAATATTCGAATCCAGATGGTCTGTTTAATTATAGAAATCTCTATTAATTTATATTTTTACTTTTTAGGATGTCCTATTAGTAGTACTGTTTTTCTTAAAAATCATGCTGAAACAAATTATTGTTTACTTAAACGAGTTTTACATTATGAAAATATTGAATTAAGTATAACATCAAATTCGAGCGAGTAAATCTTTTCAATAGTTTTTTTTAATATTATAAATAATAAAAGTTTGTTTTTTTCTTCATTAGATGTCCAACTGTTGATTGTCGTGTTAAAGAAAAAGATGATAAAAGTCCATATGTAACATGGCGTTCGTATCGTTTTTATAACGAAACAATTGATTATCGTCGTACAGTATCAAAATTACTTGATCGTCGTCCATCATCTATTGTAGGTTATCGTTCACCTAATTATGAAGTTAATAATAATCAATTACATTGGCATATTTTACGTGAACATCAATTTTTATATGATTCAACATTAATAACACGTGAATGGGATACACCATATTATAAACAACAACAACCAACACCATTAACATGGCCACATACAATGGATTTTAAAGCTAATTATGATTGTTCACAAGGTTGTTATACACAATCATTTCCCGGACTTTGGACTATACCAATACATATGTATCAAGATTTAGATGGACGAAACTGTACAACAATAGGTAGTGATCATTGTCGTGTACCACGTGTAGCCGATAAGTTTTTTAAATATCTTAAATACAATCTAAATCGTCATCTCTATTCAAATCATGCACCATTTGTAATGGCATTTGATAGTTATTGGTTGAATGAACCCTATACAGCATGGAGAATTGAAGGTTTAAAATTATTTCTTGAACATGTATTACGACATCATTCAAATGATGTTTATTTTGTTCGTATGATTGATATTATTAATTGGGTAAAACAACCTGTTGGACTTAAACAAATGAAAGAAGGATATTTAGATAATATAGCATTAAGATCAAAATGTCATAAACAAATTGATATTGATGAGGATTTTGATCAACAATGTATTGATGGAAAAATAATGAAAAATTCAAAATTAAATGCAACAGCAAATGCTCGTTCATTATTATTATTATTTGATGTTGCTGCCGAACCATTATTTCGTTCGAACATTGTTTTTTATTCATCAATTAGCTTCGGTATTTTTCTTATTGTAACATTTATTTATGATCGTATTTCCGTTTCTTAAAAAAAAATAAAGTAACTCTTCGTTGATTTTTTCTGATAAGATTATATACTTGATTGACAAAGAATTCAATACATAAGCAATTAGAATTATAAAATCATAAATATATATGTTTATTTATTTTTTTTATTAAAACAAAAAACAATTTTAAATATTTCATTGCATTCTTCGTAAAAGAACTCGTTTTGCTGCTTGATGTGCATGATTTTCCATTTTATCTAAAAATACAGAAAAAATAATAAAAACAAAACAATTATTTTTATTTACAAATTTTATGTTGTCCACGCATTGGTAATTTAAAAAAAAGTTCTTGAGGATTTTCACATATTAAAACATATTCACTCTCAGATTCACCATCAGGATACTGTTCAACATATGTATTACGATCTAAACAATCAATAACATCAACACATCCAAGTAAAACTGATGTTGGATAATCCGTTGGAAAATCAATTTCTTCATCATCTAAATAATTATAGATACATATATACATAAAATTGGGTGATGTCAAGTAATCCGTAAGGGTGTGGGTGGGTGTGGGTGTGGATGTATAGGTACGGACTACTCTCCTTTCACACCAACATCCTCACCCACACTCATACGACAAAACTCTTCGGGATGATTTATTTCTTTTCCGGATTACTTGATATATTTTATAATTTTATTTGTTTTTATTCATACCAGTATTTCTTGCTTGATAAAATTCTTGCATACTTGAAATAACATTTTGATCAGGTTCTTTTGCTGCTGCATGTATCCATAGACGTCCACGATGTGATGTATACCAAGATCGACCTTCATGCCTAAAAATTATATTGAAATAAATTTATAATTATAAAAATTTTATTTACATTTTTATTCCACGAACTAATAATGAAGCCCATGGTTGATGCATAGACAGACACATTCCATCATCTGTCATTTGCATTAATTCTTTATCTTGAATACGTAGACGTTCTCGATCTTTATCTTCGATAGTTACTTGAGATAAAGTTGTTAATGTAGGTCGCTTAGTATTTTGTTGTTCAACCCACTAAAATATATATTTTGTTTTTCTTTGATTTATTTTTTAAAATTTAAAACAAACTTGAGGAGCTGATGCTGATCCAGGTAAATTATGATTAATTAAATCATTTTCATCATTATCATCCCAATTAGGAATTTGTTGTTGGCGAAAACGTTCACTTTCTAATTCATATTGATCATTATCATGAACAGCTCGAGCTTCATCATAACTAAAATTTATTTATTATTTAAAATTGGTATTTTTCATTCTTAAACTTACAATCGATCATTTTTTGCTTCAGGATCATTCGTAACTCGTCTTCCAGCAAAATCAATCGTAATCTTTTGATTCTTTTGATTTTTCTGATGATTGAGTTGTGATTGAAGTTTTTCAAGTTTCGTACGTTGGTTTTTACTAAGCCATTTATTATTACTATCAAAATAATCTGCAGCATCATCAATAACTTGAGTTCGTTGTGCACTAAAAACTAAAGTAAGTTTTTGTCTAGAATAATTATCTAAGAACCTTGTTCGATCGAATTCAATAAGTTTATTTTTAAATGCTACAGCTTGTGCAATATCATTTAATGATAATTGTGATGATGAATCAGTTGTATTCACCGTATTTTTAGAATCCGGTTCACGGACTTGTCGAGCTAATAATTGTTCTTCAAGTTGCTTTCCCTCTCGTGTACCTGACGTAATCAAATTTTTTTCATCACGAGTACAAACCTACGATACGATAATTAAAAACAAAATTGGTCAATTATTTTAGATTTACGAGAGTGCCGCAGAAAAAACATGGACCAGATCCTTCTTGATCACATACAATTCGACCACATTTAAGACAATTACCAACAAGTTTATGTTTTGATGCTTGACATTCACATAAACTACGACCTACAAAGTAAATTTATTTTCCAATATTAACTATAGTTATGTGTATACCTGGAAATCGAACGATCATTCGTTCTTTGCCTTCATTACTAAATACATTGATATATTTAGATTTTTTCTTTTGCGCTTGTGGCATGCTTTTATAAAATCTAAAAATATCAGAGTGTGATAAGTTTTAGAATTTTCCACCTTCATATGAAGAAAAAAACAAATAGAATCTAATGAACGGACTGATTTTGTTATCTTCTATTTGTAAAAAAGTCGAAGATACAAAACAAAAAATAACTAATCATGAAAAACTTCTTATAACAAACAATAGGATTGGAAGAAAAAACAAATCAATGACGATGTTGTTCACGTTTAATTCGTTCAGCATAAGTTCGTGAAACAATATTCCATGCATCCATATAACGATCAGAACATGAAGTTATACATTTCTAAAAACACAATATGAATTTCCCTAACGAATTAATAATTCAAAATTTCTAACCTGTTCTGAACTCGATAATGTACTACCGGGTTTTTGAACACAAGCCTTGAAACATTTATCAGATAATTTCTTAAATACAAAAATTGTTCGTATTATTTCTTTTTCGAAAAACAAAATTTTTACTTGAAGAAGTTCCTGAGCATTTTGAAGAGCCAACTGTTGTTGTACTGAAGCCATTATTTGTTGGCGTTGAGCACCATCCATTTTTTGTGAATCAAGACTCATTCTTTTTTGTTTTTTTTATTAAATCTTAAATAAATAAAATAGAATTACATTTATCTGTTCATTCAAATTTTTTAATTATAATACTAGTAAAAAAAAACAAACGTAAAGATCAAATCAAAACATCACAACACTGTTCAAAGTATCACAATTTTTGTTGTTAGTGTTTTTTTTGTTCCGAAAAAAAAATTAATATTGTAATTGATGTGAAATCTGCATTGCTAATCGAGGTTTTATGGTATTTAATTGTGGAAATAAATTCATATCATCATTTTGATTGAAACTATCATTCTCAATAAGAGATGATGTAGATGAAAAAGATGAGAAGTTTTTAATTGAAGCACTGGAATTCCGTTTATTTTCAATATATTCTTCATCTATTGATGTTTGAAGTGATGGATAAAGTTGAATCCTAAATAAGAAAAAAACGAATTTAGATATATAAAGTTATTTATCTGTGTTATTAATAAGTTAATATATTACAAGAAAAGCAAAGAAGTGTAAGAAAATAATATTTATTATCATGTTGAATCTATATAGAACTTACGACTAAACTCAAACCATTTTGAAAACTGTATGAATTAATAAATTGAATAAAAGTATAAAATCGAATACAAAATGAATGACTTACTGAATATTATTATTAGATGAATTAATAAAATATTGTTCGATTAATTGTTTCAAATTTTCCAATGTATTTCGAAAATCTGTTTTATGATCACCTATTCGACAATGATACATAATCTAAATAAATGAAAAGTTATAAAGAAAGAATATTTATAGATAAATAATGACATACTTGACCAATATTTCGATTGAGGAGATAGAAACCATATCGAAAAGCACTGAGATTGGATGTTGGATAAAGAGGATATCTATGAAAAGATAATCGAATGTAGGATAGTGATAGATTGAAATTTAGTGATTCTTTTCTTTGTATTGATAAGTAGCTCAGATGTTTGAATAGTAATCTTAATGTGTCTACTTTAAACTAGTATCTGTTCGGTACAAAGCCAATGTGAGTGGCTCTATATTAATTAATATCGGACATGGAATCGATCTATAATATATTTTGCTAATGAGGGAGGTACCCGAAGTGATTAATAACTTTTCATCTGGTGTTTTAGTCATAAGTGAGATCTAATAAGATTAGAAAAAGCCTAAAACGATAAGGACCCATAGACGTTTCTAACCGAGTTACGTTGATTTTACTGAATTTTTCACTTATGACAAGAGATTCACGAAAACATCAAATTACAGAGTTTCGATATGAGATTTTGCTGACATGTAGATATTATGACCCTTATCATAGCCTAAAAGTTTCAGCCAGAACGAATGTCTCTTTCACGGAATGTTTAGCTTTCAATAAAACTCACTTATGCTACACATATATCAAGAAAATCGATTTTTCTTGAGTACTCAGTATTTCATTCGTTTTGGTTGAGACTTTTAGACCACGACGAGGGTCATAATATCTACATGTGAACAAGATCCCAGATCGAAACTCTGTAATTTGATTTTTCTATAAGTCTCTTGTCATAAGCAAAAAAATTCAGTAAAATCAACGTAACTCGAAAATAAACGTCTATATGCCCTCATCGTTTTAGGCTTTTTCTAGTCTTACTAGGTCTCACTTCGGGTACCTCCCTCATAAGTAGTTCTTATCTTTGGCTAGACTTCGATTTCAATAAGAAATTTACTTTTTTCATTTAAAATGATGATCAACAAAATCTTAGCTTATTTAAATATATTCTTCTTACTCGTTTGTTTCTAAACTATAATCATATATTTTAATTGCTGATACTCCATGATAATCAATAGGAAATCTCAATGGTAATTGAATAAATTGTGAAATAATAAGAATAAAATGAGAACAATATCCAAGAGCTGCTGCTACTTCATGATCACGTTCTCGATCTAAAATATACAATAGAACACTTGTTTTTTGTTAAAACTAATAACAAACTTGATGCTGATTGATAAATTTTATCATCTGCTTGTGGTAATTTAATATTAGCTATTGAATATTCATTTTGATTTTCTTTTTGAATTGGATAAATATGATAATACATTTCATTCATAATTTCTTTTTGTCGATATGTAATTATTTGTATTAATTTATGAAGAATTATTCTAAAGAATAAATAATGAAAATATTTTTAGATATTTTTATTTTTTCTACCTTGATTGATTTAAATAATTATGATAGGATTTTATTTCTTCTTGTTGATTCGATAATTGTGATAGATTATTATTTAATTGATTTTCTTTAAAAAAAATAAGATTATACAATTTTTATATGTTTTCTTTTTTTACTTCTTTCTTCAAGAAATTTTTGTTTTTGTTCATAGGCAATTGAACGTTGTTGATATAAATATGTTTGAAAATGTAAATATTTTTTTAAACTTTCAATACGTAATCGACGTGTTTCACGTTCTTTTATCTATTTAATAATACTACTAAGAAGACGAATTAATTAAAATAAGAAATACCTTTGATAAATAATCTTCATTTGCATCAAAAAATGTTTGTAATCGTTGAAGATTTGCTGTTGATAATTGTTTTTCACCACGAATTGCATGAATAACATTAATCATACTAAATTTAATATTATCATAAACAAACAAATTTTCATCAATTTCCTAGTAAACTAACCGTATTATACTTAATCTATTGTAGGATTTAGCCAAAGAAATACGTTTTCTTTTATCATTAAATAATATATCATCATAATTTAATTCACTATTATTCTCATCATCATTATCAGTAAAACGATAGCCAAACATTTCTAACCAAAGAGTATTATTATCTTTATTGACTGTATTTTTCTATTGACAAAAAAAAAAATATTAATTAATATAATTTAGATATATTATCTTACTTGATCATCGGGTATAAGAGAATTATCAAGATGAATATCATATTCAAGAAATAAACGAGCATGATTCGAAGATGTTATCCATACACGCATAATAAATTCTAAATAAATTTAAGAATATCTTAAGTCAAATGTTTTATTACGAAGACAAGGTGAAAAGACGGAATCTGGGATCCTCGAGAATCTCCGCGACATGTATTTGGAATTCTCGGAAACTCGGATTCTACTCTTTCCCCCTTGTATCAAGATTAATACATAACTGAGATAAACTTTCAAGCTAACATAGTCTGGTTTGGTTCATACTCATCAGAGTTGGAACCGGTCCGGCCGGACCGGACAAGATCGGACGAAAAATCTAACCGGTCCGGACAAAACTGAATTTTTACCGGTTCATAAAATTTGAAAATTATATTTGTATTTCAAATTTTTTTCTTACAAAACTAATCTTTATTTGTTTTGAAATATCATGCTAGGAATTGTTATACGTATATGTTTTAGTTGAAAAAGAGCATGTGACAAAAATATTCGTATAAATTCATAATTTTGCCGGAGTTTTGCAAATTTGACGTCAGAAGTAGTTCTGTCGGATTTACGTCAAAAATAGTCTGACCGGACCGGATCGGGTGGAAAAAATCCGTCCGGTTCCAACTCTAATACTCATGTTTTCATTCTTTTAATATACATATTGAATATTCACATCTTAAGTCTTAGAAGTGAAAGAGGCTTTTTCTTCTATGATAGTAGTATGGCAGTTATCTCTACAAAAAAAGTTTAGTCTAACAAAGTAGACGTAGGCTGGTAATCAGATTCTTCCTACTGTGGTAGAAAGTAAAAATATTGGTCACTATGATCGATAATTCTGTAAAGTGAAGATTCATATCCTGACTGAATGTAGATATCAATCTTCCATATATTATCAGAAAAAAGAATCTTTCCTTCAACAGATGATTATTCATATTTACCTTGTAAACATTGCACACTTGTTGGAAATTTTAAATAAGACCATTCTGGACTCTAAAATTAAAATAAATCATATTACGTTAATTTTCTTCAACAAAAAACTTACACGTTGATTTTCAACTAATTCACTTGTATAAAACGCTATAAATATATTTCTTTTATTATTAAAATAACTGAATTGTTTTTCTTACCAATTGTTTTTTCATTACGATGTAATGTAAAATGAACGGTAAAATTAAATTCATTCACAGTTAAATTATGTAAACCGATAGCTGTAATACGTCGTAATCGTTTCTGAAAAGAAAATAATTAATATTAATTTTAATATAGAACAATATCGAAATTTACTTTAAGAAATGGTACTGATATTAATGGACTTTTTTTTACTCCTGATAATGCCATAGTAAATGCAAAGTACTCGTCATTAAAAATAAAGTAATCTTCAATAAAAAAAGCAACAACAGATAAATTTACGTATATATTTATCATAAAAAGTTATTGAATAATAAGAATGTTATCAAATTATTTTAAAAAAAAGAAACTTTAACCACGCATTAATGCTCCACAACAACTTTTGATCACATTTCTAAATAAATAAAACCATATGTATATATAACAATCCTCACGTAAAAATTAATTTACCGTGCATATGGAATGTAACTAAGTGTATACCAAAGCTAAAATAAACATCAAATTTTATAATATTTCGAAAGTTAATCTTTAAATTTACTCACAAGAGCAAGAAATTGAAGTATCACAAATAAAAGTACTAGAACAGGTACCTTAATCTAAATAAATGAATGAATATTCATTAAAAATTGAGTAATTTAAAAAAAACTTACAGCAATCGCTGATACAAGTGTCATTGCAACGCATATCTAGACAATTAGAACAAAAAAATGTATTGTGCTATAACTATTTATAAATAGAAACTTACGAGAAAAACTATGGTAGCAATAAATCGTGAAGAATCAAACATTTTTCTCAATTGATTCATTGGACCCATCAAGAAAAGCGTACTGAAAAATGAAGTATAATATAAATATAGGTAAAACTTATTTTTTATACATACGATCCAAGACCGAAAATAACTGCTAAACTATAAAGAATAGCAAAACCAGATAAGCTACCACCAGTAAAATAAACAATCGTTGCCTAAAATAGATCAAAATCATACGTTAGATCTTATATTTATATCATATTAGATGATCATGAAATTAGTCGGATAATGTCACTCTTTCTCGTCTATTACGAATTCTGCAATGTAGCTCTACATATTGAGCAGAAGCAATACTATTCAATCAATTTCATGATAATCTAACATGATGTGAATATATTAAAGCAAATGTCACATTTAATCAATATCTTTCAAGTTTATTTGTTACAACACAAACTTAACCGATATATATGCAACGCGGAAAAATCAGTCGCTTTATCACAAATGACTTACAATTATTCCGAGTACAACACAAATAAGTAAACAAATTCCAAAACCTTTCAAACGTGTATCCCATGATAAACCGGATACCTACAAAAATGAAATAGATACATTCGCACATGAAATCTTTCAATCAAATCAAAGCTTATTAATCAAATATTTACAATCAGCTGTGATCTCACCTTGAATATAATAATTGTATATTGTCCAAATTAGTATTAGTGAACCACATTATACACACACAATGAAAGCGGAAGAAGATGCAAAATATGCTCAAAACAAAGAAGTATCTAAAGTGTATACATATGTATATATCTTTATTTTATTCTTATAACCCACCTGCGATGTAATCGATACATCTTCAGTGGCAGCATATCGCCCACTAATAGTAAATAATTGTCTCATTTTTTTCTTTTCACAATAAAGAAAATCTAAAAAGTAAATCATATAAAAATCCTATCACCATAATCTACCTCCACCAGAGAAATTTTTTAAATATACATGAAAGATAAAAGAGGAATAAATGCACAGAAAAAAAATGAATTAAAAGTTTAGGCGATTTTAGTTGGCGCAATTTCGGTTTTTCGAAGAGCATCAAGAACCATATCCATATCATCTGAACAGAAACAGATAAATAAATATGCAAGTTTTTATAATAAATAGTTTATATTTTACTTCGTAAGGTTCGAACCATATTAACAATTTGTTCTTTACCATCAATAACTTCCATTGATTGTGTATATGGATTATAATATACACTGAATGGACGTGGAATAGTCATTGCATATTGTCTAAACAAAAAACAAAAACATGAGAATAATGGAAGAAATATGATTTATTATACCGTAATTTTTCTTTAGCATCTTTAAAACTTTCAGCTAAGAAATAAGTTGGTTGAAAACTTGTTATTGGATATGGTTGAATTGAAGCACGAAATGGATCAAATGGCATTATTGATGGTTTATCCGAAACACAATACTAAATGAAAATATGCTTCAACTTAAATAAATATTTATAAAAACTAGTACTTGTAATTCACCAAATGATGATAAAAGACCAGCACCATAAGCTTTTCTTTCATCATTTTCAGTACATAAACCAAATTCAACAGTAAACCAATATAATGTTGCTAAGAAAAAAAACAAAATAATTAATGAGTCGATATATGTATAAATTTAAATACCTAAACGTGTTATATATTCATCTGGTGCACCTAAACTAGCCATACCAATTTCTTGACTAAATTCAGCAAAATCTGGATCAGCAAAAAGTGGTACATGACCAAGTAATTCATGACATATATCTGGTTCTGGTGTATACATAGGTACACTATGATGACGAATATATTGAGTTGAATGAAATACACGAAAAGCTAATCCAGCAAGAAAATCTCGTGATGATAAAAGACCTGAAGAAAAACATTGTATATTTTCATATAAATAGTATATATATTCAACTAACCAGCAACAGGTCGAAGACGAAAACCTGAACAATCTTGAAGAAATTGTGATACTTCTTCTAATTGTGGTATATTTGTTTCATTATAACCACAATTATCAATAAGTAATGGAAAAATATTGTTAAACTCTTTGCATGCATGTTTTGGATAAAGTTGTGTTAATTCACGAAATACAGTTGCCCATGTTGAAATTTCTTGTTCAGTGTAAGTAACACGTGGAATAGGTTGATTATGACGATATTGATGAGCAATATCAGCAAATTCTTTTCGACGTTTACGATAGAGTACATCACGAAAACCTGGATGATCAGAATCTAATTCTGATCCATAAGAAAGAACACGATTAGCAAATTGATCTAAATCACGCATTTTTCTTGGAAACCATGGTACTAAATAAAATCTTTAGATTTTTATAAAATATCTTTACAAAAAGCTAACCTGATTCATCTAATGATTTATGAGCACGTGAAAGTATATGAATATATTTCGATTCTTGACGTAATTGTTTAATAGCATCTGCTACACTACCCATACTATTATCACATTCAACATAAAATTCATGATCAGTTTTATTTTGTCGAGATAATCGAGATTCAATATGAAGTAAATTGATGCCATGTTTCTAAAAAAGAAAATATTTGTATTCTTCCGAACAAAATAAAAAATAGTTGAATTTTAATTTAAGATTTCTAATTTATGTTAATTGAGAATAAGAGAAGCATTATAATTTAGAGCTTAGAATTCAAACCTGATTTAAAATCTTGAGGCTAAATGGATGATTAGGGTAAAGAAAGAATGAATTAATAAGAAAATTTATTTACTTCAAATACATGAAGTGCTCTAGCTAAAGCACCAACTTCTTCATGAAGTGAAAAAATAAGTGATGTTTTCGTCGAAGGTTCTTCATTCTAAGAAAACATAATATTTATATATTGAATTAATCAATAAAATAAACTAACTTCTGTTGAACCAAATTTACCAGCCATATCATTTTTACTTTCTTCGTGGGCCATTCGATCACCACCAGCCTTCATTTAGAAAAAACAAAACATAGTTATATCCATTGTTTTTTTTTGAAAAAGTTTTTAACAAACCTCTGATAATGTACCCATGATAAATATTTCAAATTGAATGTAGGATAATGCCTTTATATATATATATGTCACTTCAATTTAAAATATCAGTGAAAGAATGTAATCATTTCTGAAAAAAACAGAGATATTTATTTCTATATCGTGGCATCAGCATGGCATAAAAGGCACGCCAAGGGGTGTTATTCTACACACCCAATAATTTTTTTTTGAATAAAAAAAAATACGCAATTAAGTACAAAAAAAAAAGAAGAAAGAATGTGTAACAGCTGTTGACAAATGATCATTGAATGAAAATGTTTCATTGCGTTCGTAACCTTTATCACAGTTGTGTTTAGAAAAAAAAAAGAAAGACGACATAAAGTTCACGTCGAAACTGCGTCTATTTTCGTTTCCATTATATTAATTTATTTCATTGTTAATAAAAAAAAATTTCCATTCATAAATATTGATGAATTTCAATAATAAATATTTTCTTGTATACTATTATAGGAAAAGCGATCTGACAAAAATAATTTTCTACGCCGTTCTATTTACTTTTTTTCCGAAGTGTACGGTAGAATGTAAAGAAAAATAAGCTTTATTCAAGTCGTACATAATCGATATTGATTTGCATAAATGAAGTACCTTTATAAAAAAATCAATCAAGATACATACTTCGATAAAAGAGCGATTGTGTATAACTGAAAATTTTTGTTTTTCATAAATACCAATCAGTCCATTTGAATAAACTTCCAATGGTCATGTTAATTCGTATGTTAAACTACGAAATATTATTTAATCCATATTTATATCCAATCATAATAATTGAGTTTATTAGTCTGAAAGAAAGAAAGAAAGACTGAATTGAAGCAACGTTTTCATTAATACACAGAAAGAAAAAAAGAACTGTACAACAAGTCAAAAACAAGAGATGATTCATTTAACGTGCACTATTCAATGAAAATGAAATTTTTTCTCGTGTCTTATTTTTTCCTAAAATAAGATTTTGTTCTTTTGCATGTTGTTTGCCTAATTGTCGTTCAAATCGTTCTCGATCTTCCATTAAACGTAATTGTTCAGTACGTAATTTTTCTTCTTCATCAGCCTAATAATTAATTAAATTATTTTTAGAAAAACAACATATTTTCTTTTTATATCAAACATACAATACGTTTTTCTGCATCGGATAATTTACGTTCATTTTCTGTCAAAATTCGTTCTAAATCTTCACGTTTTTTTCTTTCTTCTTCCTATAAACGGGAAAAATAATAAATACATCGAAAACATCAAAATTCAATTTACTTCTTTGGCAATTAATTTTTTCATTTCATCATTATTTCGTTTTTCAAGTTCACTTAACATTTGTTTTTCCATTGTTCGTTTAAGTACATCAACACGTCGTTTAACTTCATTTTCAATTTCATCTTTTCGACGTTCTAATTCTTCACGTACACGTGTTTCAACAATATCTTTAACACGTCGTTCAACTTCAGATTGTATTAAATTTTCGCGAGATTCTTTCTGACGCCTAAAAATTTTCAGAATAAAAACAAAACTTTAATAAATAAATAAATCTATTTACAATAATTGCATGCGTTCTCGTTCAAGTTCAGCTAATCGTTCAACTTCCGCTTTTTTACGAGCTGTTAAATCGACTAATTCATTTATGCTTGCCATTCGACCTATGGATAATATTGAATCTTCACGACCATCATTTGATGAATTACTTGATCGACGACGAGATCTAAAGAGAATAATACATCATTTAGCTACTAGGTTTCTCCAATTGAAACGAGTATCTCACGGAAATGACAAAGCTATTTGAGTAACTCTAAGCTTACGAGGGAACTTTTTCAGGTGTTATTCTCCGATTTTCCAAATTACCTCATATTTTGATAGTACATGGTGACCTATTAAAAAACCCCTGTGAGGGACCTCAGGGTCGTAAAAATGAAACTTTCATTTTGGACCTCAGATTTTACTGAAATATAAAAGTAAGTTAGAGTATTCTATACACAAAAATTCAGAAGCTTAAGTCAAAGCCTCGCCGAGATATAACATGTCGGAAAGGCTGTACTAACATGTTAAAAGGATCCATACTATTAAATTCGTCGATCTCCACGAAACTTTGACCTAAACCTTTGAATTTCTGTATATAGACTACTCTAACTTAGTTCTATATTTGAGCAAAATTTGAGGTCCAAAATCAAACTTTCATTTTTTCGACCCTGGGATCCCACACAGGGTTTTTTAATAGGTCACCATGTACTATCAAAATATGAGATAATTTGGAAAATCGGAGGATAACACCTGAAAAGATTCTCTCGTTAGGTGTGTGACCCTCTGACCTTAAATCATATTCATAATTCAATGTCTTACCGTTTTGATTTTTTTTCTCGATCAGGTGAACGTGATTTATGTCGTTGTGATGAACTGGTCATACTTCGATCTTTCGATCTATCTCGTGATAATTTTCTATGTTTATGTTTTTTATTCGATGGACTACGTGATCGACCCATCGTGCTGTAATACAACACGAAATCTAAACAAGATTTCAAAGAAATAATAGACAGTCTGATCAATAAAAAGAATATTTAAAAAAAAACGAACAAAGGAAAAGAAATAATAATCATATCGACATTATCATATTGGCCCCTAAAAAAAGATACAAAAATATTAATCATTAAGTTTTATTCTTGAAGAAATTATGAAAAAAAGATACTTATACTTATAATACTTACCATGTGAGTAGCATGTTTATAGTTCAAAAATTTTAAGTAAGAAAACTAGTAGATATGTAAAATATTTTTCTTTTATTTTTATCTTATTGATCAAATATGAAAGAATATAACAAGTAAAAACAAATTGTTTACTTTGATTTAAACAATCAATGAAAAGTTACTTGAATAATATGATCTTCTTTGATTAATATGAAATGACAATACAAATTTTTCATTACATGCATTTGTTGCAATACAAGACAAGTCAGATGAAGTTCTTGATAATTAATCCATAAACTAGATTAAATAATAAATAAGATTTATTATATATTATAATATAAAAAGTAAGGATTTTTATGTTGGAATATATTACTGAAAGTTTAAGCAAGAAAAAAATGAACAAATAAATGTCGTAAAAATAGATATCCATCCTTCATTCATTTCTAATCATCCAATTAGAATAGTTCTATCGATACTAGCGACAATTGAAAACAAAATATATCTCGTGAAATTTCAAAGTATATTTTCAATCAATTATTCTCTATAAATAAAACAAGAGATTTATTAAGTTGTATTATATATAATTATTTCGTTTAGGATGAACAATAAGTAGTTGAAATTTACACGAATAGAAACATTTTTTTTCATATCACAATCACAATCAATGTTACTATTTATAAATTACAAATACTTATATTACAAATATATATATATAATTACGAAATTTGATATTTAAATTACATCCAACAAAATTCTTTCTAAAGCTAGTAAATATTTACATTTTCGTTTCATTATTAGGATGTATTAAACAATCAGTAAATGTACATTTCATCTTATTATCTCGATTATTTACAATAAAATGTGTTTATATACTTTTATTATATCTACAGGAAATACAACTATGCAGATTGTATAAGGTGATATTGTTTCATATCATTTAGAAGACATTTCTTTGTCATGAGAATACGGCTTGGAAGAATATTTTTTGGACATATAAGTTTTAGAGAAATAATAGCCATTTGATTTGTCTACACTTTTTTTTCGATCAACTCTATTAAACTTCATTTTTTTTGGCGATAAGTAAACCTTTACGAGGTAAAAAGTAGCTAAAAAGAAATCATTTGCATAGCACTTATTTTTTCTCGAGTTCAAAAGCATTTTACTTAATACTTGATTTGTTACATGGCTTTTTGTAAAACTTAAATATCGTATCGTATGTTTTAAGAATAGGTAGATACCATCATCAATTGAAATGTTGAAAATAACTTTACTTACCATAGTAATACAATTTAGATAAATATCGATCAAAATAGAAGTCACTTGAAAAGCTCGATCATCTCAATAGAAATACAACTATTTACGGTTCGCTACGAATGAATAACGTCATTAGATATATGTCAATCATAAAAGTACATTGAATGATGTTCCTGCCAATAAAATATTGAATTTATACTTATTAGGATATTTAAAATCATGTGTCATTTTCGTATCGACTTTTGCTTGTTACTGCATTAAATTTTTTGTTATTTTACACTGAAAATAATAATATTCTTGTTGGAAGAAGAAGTCATATGAATGTATTTTGACTTTTATATTTTCCATCGCGATTAAGCAACCTTACATAAGATACTGCAGAAAACGAATCATCATTCAATCTTGTTAAGGAATTTCTATACTCCTTTTTAAATGCATCATAATAAAATCAAATATTCATGAATATATATATTAGTAATTCCTCTTCACTTAAACTTTGATCAAATAAACTAAAATCTTTATAGAATTGAGAATTATTTATGTATTATTCGATTAAAAGACAGAGAGGACATTGATGCGTCTATAGGTTTCTGAGCCTATAAAAATCCCATAAATTACTACATGAGAGTTCTTTATTTCGAATAAACAGGTACTAATCCACTGACCACTTGTCACTAATATTTTGCAAGTGTGTTCGTTTCCAAATGTCTTCCTCCAACTAATATTTACTAGTCCTCCTAAATGAAACTAATGCTACAGAAACAATCTCACATGCATCTCGATAAACGTAGAAACGGATATTTCTTTCTTTAGATATGACAAACATCAGTCTCTCAATGAAAAAATGTCTTTTTTGGTAAAATCCTATGACGAAAACATGCGAACTATTTCATAAATTTCCTCTTGCTTCCATTTCCCCCCCCCCCCTATGATCGTAGTAAAAATGAACTACTATTGCTACAAGATATCATATATATTTGTTCAATCGATATAAAATCTTATAAACGTTAAACACAAAAGCATTCTGGTTTGTGGTTGCTACTGTTGGTAAAGATTTTCATTGAAACGTTATTTCCAGTTCTATATTTTTTTTGCCATGTTTTCCGAAGTCATATATCTACTTCCTCATACATTTAATTGTATTTGAGACTGAGTGCCATGAGTGTCTATGTAGAAAGTTAGTGAATGATGAAGCGAAGTGAAAAGGAAGAAGAACAAGTATTGTTCTTACTTTGTTCATGTGTAGAGCATTGACAAGATCTTGCGCTCCTTGAGCACCGATTTTATTGCTTCTGAGGTCGAGTGTGGTGAGTGACTATGTGAAAAGTGCATGAATGATGAAGTTAAGTGAAGAAGAAGAATAATATCGTTGTTACTTTGTTGATTTTTAGAGCATTAGCAAGATCTTGTGCCCCTTGATCACCGGTTTGATTCTTCTGCAGGTCGAGTGTGGTGAGTGTCTGTGTGAAAAATATGTGAAGAATGCCGTGAAGTGAGGGGAAAGAAGTCTTGTTCTTACTTTGTTGACTTGCAGAGCACTGGCAAGATCTTGTGCCCCTTGAGCACCGATTTTATTGCTTCCGAGATCGAGTGTAGTGAGTGACTGTGTGAAAAGTGCATGAATGATGAAGCGAAGTGAAGAAGAAGAAGAACAAGTATTGTTCTTACTTTGTTGATTCGTAGAGCATTGGCAAGATATCGTGCCCCTTGATCACCGATTTGATTCTTCTGCAGGTCGAGTGTGGTGAGTGTCTATGTGAAAAATGTGTGAATGATGTAGTTAAATGAAGAGGTAGAAGAACAAGTATTGTTGTTACTTCGTTGATTTCTAGGGCCTCAGCGAGATTTCGCGCTCCTTTATCACCGATTTTATTCGACCCGAGCTCGACTATCGTCAGTGTCTATGTGAAACGTGTGTGAATGGTGAAGTCAAGTTAAGTGAAGAGAAAGAAGAACAAGTATTGTTGTTACTTTGTTGGTTTGTAGAGCATTGGCAAGATGTTGTGCTCCTTGATCACCGATTTCATTGTATCCAAGGTAGAGTGTAGTCAGTATCTGTGTGGAAAGTGTGTGAATGATGAAGCGAAGTAAAGAGAAAGAAGAACAAGTTTTGTTGTTACTTTGTTCATTTGTAAAGCAATAACGAAACTCTGTGCTCCTTTAGCACCGATTTGATTACCTCCGAGGTCGAGTGTGGTCAGTGTCTGTATAAAAAGTATGTGCACGATGAAGTTAAGTGGAGAGGAAGAAGAACAAGTACTGTTCTTACTTTATTGATCTGTAGAGCTTTGGCAAGATCTTGTGCTCCTTGATCACCGATTTGATTGCTCCACAGGTAGAGTGTGGTGAGTGTCTGTACGAACAGTGCGTAAATGATGAGGTGAAGTGAAGAAAAAGAAGCACAAGTATGGTTGTTACTTTGCTGTTTTGTAGAGCATAAGCAAGATCCTGTGCACCTTGATCACCGATTTCATGTCTCTGCAGGTTGAGTATGGTGAGTGTCTGTATGAAAAGTATAAGAATTACTATGCTGTGGCTTAAGGTTTGGAGAAGTTTGATTTAAAGTGGTAGATTGTTACGAAAGTGTGTTTGAATGTAATAATTACTTGGTCGAGATACATTGCGTCAATATACTTCTGTAGCTTGAGATCAATACAGTTAGGTGACTTAAGCGGTTTTGGTGAATCTGGAAATAGGGTTGGTTTAGGCATGGGTGGTTTTGGTGGATCCGAAAGTGCTGTTGCTTTAGGCATGGTCGGTATTGGTGGATGTGGTGCAGGTTGTGGTACAGGATTAATGAGAGGAAATTTGGGTTGGATTTCTTTGAGTCGTATCATATGAAGACCACCATCGGAATAAATAGAATCTGTCACTTGAAATTGTCGAGCTGGAGGAAGTAGTACATCGTCGTCTTCTGGAAAAAGTGAGTATTGTTTAATTCTTTTGGCAGAAGAGCAGTCAATGATAAATAATGTTCTTGTTCCACTTGGACCTAAATATTGTTCATTTCTTAAAATACCAACAGATGCTGTACAAGATGAAAAGCCCCACCAGGTGACGGTACTTCCTTTTAGATATAGTGCACTTAAGTCGAGTTTGACACCGCGATACACGATGAGACGATTAGAGTCCGATGAAAGTTTGGCTAAAGAAGTCATAACGAGACGAAGATAAAGAAACCATGGCTTGAGTAAGTTTCGATTAGCTGCTTGCAAAGTAGTGTTAAGGATAATATAAAACGAGTTGTGTGTTGGTGTCCATTCCATTGTGTAAAGCGTGATCGAAGCTGCTTCATCATGTGTTAAACCATGTTGTCCATCGAAATGCTTTTGTTTTACTGTCCAAGCCATACGCTCAACTTCAGGAACAATCGAAATGAGAGGAACAATGGCTTCTTCCAGAGAAACAAGAGGCTCGTTCTCATATCCTAGGATAGGTGGAAGTATTCGTCTTGGCTCTGAAGTAAGATCAGAGAATCGAGAAGCATGTTGTGGTTCATTAGAAAATTTAGGAGCCATGATGTGCAATGGTCTAAAATGCAAATAATTTCAAGTGAGAGTAAGTTCTCTTTGCTTGATATAGTTAATGGACTGGTCCATAAGATAGTTATCGTAATATTTTTCTATGCATACGTGTTAGAAAAAAAATGCAGTAGAACAAAATAAGTTAATAGCATCTTAGTATGTGTTTACTGGCAAATAATCATATCACTCAATATACTAGACAATACTAAATAGTATAATAGAGACATATACAGATCTGTTAAATAGTATAAAAATCATCTCTCTTACTAATCGAATTTTCACAGAGAATAGTCTTTCAAGTCATGTAGTGATGATTTACGTACATTTGTATTCGACAGTATCTCCCGTAATTAATAAAGAGAGTGTAGAAAAGAATGATACTAATCCTGTATTGTTTAGCTCAATATAAGTAATATTTTATGGAAGATGTTTATATTTAAGACATTTTTCGACTACATAGTTTTAACACGACTTTATCATCATTACATTTGTGAAATCTGAGGAAACATCAAAGTATACTTACCAAAAATGATTTTTTAATATAAATAATAATAATAGTTGTTTTGATAATGTTGTAGTATCTAAAAATAAACAAGTAAATAAAATAGATCAGTGTTGATAAGTGCATATTTCGGAACAAAGATTCTTGCTAAAAAAAACTAAATGTATTTCTCTCAAAAACTTATTCTTATGTTTGTAGCTTGATGTGAAATTGCGTCTTTCGATTATACTCATTGATAAATGGTAAGTTAATATGAATGACGTTTGATTTTCGTTATACGTCTATTTGCATCGTAGTGTAAAACGTATGAAAAGAAAAAAAATCATTCTTTCTTTTATCTTTTTTTCTTTATGTATGAGTCAACGTAAGCTTTGACGACACTATAATGGTAAACACATTTTTTCGTTTTGTACATATTGTTTTGATAAAAGGCATGTTTTATATGTTTTGTTTTTACCAAGGCACATGTAAACCTCTTTTCTTCTGATAACGTCAAAGAAAACGAGCTCGTGTTAGATAAGACTGAATGAACATCGAATTACTTTCATGTATATTGATTTATTTCTAAATTCTTTACTACATATTTAAATTTCTCATATATGATTTTGTGATCAATAAATTTGAAAGCAATTTATTTGAAAATGTTTTTTAAAATTCTCATTTTAATTGATGATTATACAGACAATTTATACAGCTCGACTGGGTTTATTAAATTGCTTTGATACATAATATTTTGTATTTATAATAAGAATGTGCTACTGTGATTAAGTGCGTCTTTTTCTTTACTTTTTACACAATATGATAAAAACCACATGAACAAATCTGTTTAGTTTTATTAAATTTTCATGTTTCATTAAAACGAGAAATGTTAGAAATCTGCCGCCAATAAAAAAACATAAATGAATTTGAAAAATTGTTTTTGTATATATATAGACATGCTGACATCTAAATATCTTCTTTTTTCCATATTATAATAAGTCACTATGGATTTCTAATTTTTTTGAAATTGAAACCTCGAGATAATATAGAGTTTTCTAACTCTTCATACAAAAACTCTTTGATATTACTCATTGATGTATTTTGATGAACAGTATGACTAGCAAAATTTCCATTTCATTTACAATGATGCAAGCATATATGATAGCAGACTCCAAACGTGACACTTTAATCAAAATATTGTTGGTCAAATAATTTGTCCTAATCTATCGGCAATACTAGTCAATATCATTTGATATTATAAAATATACAAGGGCTAATGTTTAAATAAAACAATTATTCGTTTGATTTGATTATTGTTAATTCAGAGTATATTCTATTAGTTGCAGCGAAATGGCAATAGATTAAAAGAAAATGGATAGTATATAATCTTTTAGTAGATTCACACTCTGAAAATTTACTAATTTATTTTA